CTTCCAGCTCCCTGCTTGTGGCCTGGGAAAGCACTGGAGGAGGGCTCACCACCTTGAGCCCCTGCACACGTGTGGGAGACCAAAAGAAGCTCTTGGCTCCTGGCTTTGGACCAGCCCAGCTCTGGCAATAACAGCCATTTAGGGAGAGAACCAGCAGATGAAAGAACTCTGTTTCTAACTTTCAAATAAAATAACAAACAAACAAAAACCTGTCTGCTATAACAACACTCTCACTTTTTTTTTCTATTTACTTATTTTTATTGGAAAGTCAAATAAACAGAGAGGAGGAGAAACAGAGAGGAAGATTTTCCATCCTCTGATTCACTCCCCAAGTGACTGCAATGGCTGGAGCTGAGCCAATCCAAAGCCAGGAGTCCGGAACCTCTTCCGATTCTCCCACACAGACACAGAGTCCCAAGGCTTTGGGCTGTCCTGTACTGCTTTCCCAGGCAGCACCCAGGGAGCTGGATGGTAAGCAGGGCTACTGGGTTACAAATTGGTGCCCATATGGGATTCCTGCACATGCAAGATGAGGACTTTAACTATTAGGCTACCACGCGGGGCCCAACAGTATCACTTTCATTAGCTTAACAGTATTTATACGGGGTGGCGGGATGACTCAGCAGGCTAATCCTACACCTCCAAGCACCAGCATCTCACATGGGTGCCAGTCCATGTGCTGTCTATTCTACTTCTGATCCAGCTCCCTGCTTGTGGTATGGAAAAGCAATGGAGGATGGTCCAAGGCCTTGGGGCTGCTGTGCCCACACGGGAGATTGGGAAGAAGCTGCCAACTCAGCTGTTGCCGATGTGGCCACTTGGGGAGTGAACCAGCAAATGCAAAATCTTTGTCTCATTTTGTCTGTACATACTACGTTTCCAATGAAAATAAATAAACCTAATATATATATTATATTAAATCTAATATTTTATATATATATATATATATATATGCCTGAGGAAGAACACTAGCTGTAAGCTCTAACACTTCTCACATGTTCCTTGACTTGTATCTAAATTTGAAGCAAAGGGGATACTCAATGCTATTATTCTGTGAAACTGGCTGGTTTCTTCCACTGGGGAAAAATAATACAGAAGCACTGGATTTTAACAGTGAACTTTTCCATATAATAATGATCACAAGCTAGGGTAACATTTTGCGACAAAACAAATCCAAGGACTGTACATGTACAGTAACAATGTCCAATGAAGTATAATGTCAGAGAAGTAACAATTACACACATGAAGAAAGAAAATTTCTGGGGCCGGCACTGTGGTGTAATAGGTTAAGCTGCCAGGTGTGGCACTGGCATCCATGTGGCTACTGGTTCGTGTCCCAGCTACTCCACTTCCCATCTAGCTCCCTGGAAAAACAACTGAGGATGGCCCAAGTCCTTGGATTCCTACACCAATGTGGCTGACCCAGATGAAGCTCCCGGCTCTTGGATTCAGAACAACCCAACTCTGGCCATTGTGATCATTTTGGGAGTAAACTAGCAGATGGAAGGTCTCTCTCTCTCTCTCTACTCCTCTGTAACTTTGTCTTCAAAATAAATAAACAAATAAATAAACAAAACCTTAACATTTTTTAAGAAAAAATTTCCTTCAGCTGGAGACATCAGAAAAAAAAAAAAGTAAGATTCCAGAAAGGATTAAAAGAAATAATACATACACATAGATACCTAGGTATACCCTACTGAGTTTTCTTAATTCTAAAAACAAACCAAAACTACGATCATGTTCAGGAAACAAAAGTAGAGGCAACATAGACAAAGGGTTAAAATACACTAGTGTAAGACTTCTCAAAACTCCCAAATTGAAAAACTGTCAAAAAGCATCTGTAAATGTCAAAGAAAAGAGACTGTACCCAAAAGTACTTACTTCCCAACGAAGATCTCAATTGTCAAGGCAAATGTAACAGAAGTTTGGGGATAATCGAGGCCTCAGAAAAAATATATACATACACATCAGATACAGCCAACAAACATGAGGTATAAATGGAGTGACAATTTATTCAACACAAAGGTATCAAATGGGGAGTGATGAAATGGGGAAGAAACAGCAGCAGCAATACTGCAGTGTATATTCATGTCTAGTTATGAAAACATGACTGAAAATTTGTAAAAAAAAAAATTGTTGAAATAGAGAAAACACCACACAAAGCAAAATTCAAAATCAAATACGTTACAGAGGTTAAAAATGAATGTTTTGTATAAGGTATAATCAAAGATTTGTCAAACATCTATGTAACAAAAACTATAGAAACAACATTCATAAATGAAAAACTTTAGATATAAGTAAACTGGATAAAACAAATTTATAGTGGGATACTTTAATACTTTTTCTCAAAGTTCAAAAATTCAGATAGTCTAAAAAATGTGGTTCAAAAAATAATATGATACAAAATATCTGAATAGTATTATCAACATCAACTTTGTCTATTTTATTTTTAGAAAGCTCATCCTATAACACTCATAAAGAAAGCCTTTAAAGAATCCAAGAAATTAGAGGTTATACAAGGCAATATTTTGAAAACCAAACTAATGAAACTAGAGATCAATACTAAATAAACAATACTTATACTCGGAAGTTAAACACTACTGCAAAGACAAAGTTAAACTACCTAAAGAGTTATGAAAGAGAACAATTCATTAAGCAATGGGACAGAGTTAAAGTTGCATACCAAAGAAAATATACAGCTTTCAAATATTTCCTTTAAAAAGAAACAAAACTATGCCAAGTATTAATAAACCGGAATAGAAAAACTAACAAAAAAGAATTGGAATGGAAATAAAAAATGACAAAGAACAAACAAAATTAGGAGTAATTTCTTTGATAATGCCTATAAAATAGCTAAACTTCTGAAAACCTATTTAAAGAAACATGAGACTGGGCCTGGTGTAGTAGCCTATCGGCTAAAGTCCTCACCTTGCACGCATAAGGAGGCCAATAAAAATACATCGTAAAAATATGAGACTAAATCTTAAAAAAGAAATAGTAATAAAAGGGACCAGCATGATGGCTCAATTGACTAATCCTCGACCTCCAAATATTAGTAACCCTTATGGGCATTGATTCATGTGCCTGCTGCTCTACTTCCAATCCAGCTGCCTGCTTGTGACCTGGAAAGGCAGCAGAGGACAGTCCAAAGACTTGGGATCCTGCACCTACAAGGGAGACCTTAAAGCTCCTGGCCCTTGGCTTCAGACCAGTTCAGCTCCAGTCACTGCAGCCATGTGGGGAGTGAACCAGCAGATAGAAGCTATTTCTGGCTCTTTTCAATACTCTGCCTTTCCAACTAAAATAAATATTTTTAAAAAATAAAAAGTATGAGCGGGGCCTGACACAATGGCCCAGTGGCTAAATGCTGGTCTTGCACGTGCCAAGAGCCCGTGTGAGTGCCAGTTTGTATCCTGACAGCTCCACTTCCCATCCAGCTCCCTGCTTGTGGCCTGGGAAAGACGTTGAGGATAGCCCAAAGCCTTGGAATTCTGCACCCACATAGGAGTCCTAGAAGAAGCTCCTGGCTGCTGGCTTCAGATTAGCTCAGCTCCAGCCACTGCAGCCATTTGGGGAGTGAACCAGTGGAGAGAGGATCTTTCTGTCTCTCCTCTCTGTAGATCTGCCTTTCCAACAAAGGTGAATAAATCTTAAAAAAAAAAAAGTATGAGCAAAAACAAAATACATTTAAGATGAGAACAGGAATATAACCAGAAACTCAAGAGACATAAAAGAGCAAATAAAATTTTTAAAAATGATTATATTGTGTAGCTATCTCAATAATAAAATGCAAATAAAGAAGAGTGGGTCTCAACCATGGCTGGACATCACAGTCACCTGAGGAGCTTGAAAACTGTGAGCTCCACTCTCAGAGGTTGCCAAGCACAGAGGGAAGCTGTACAATCTGTTAACCATGAGATCAATACTGCGGATCAATACTAGTATTGGTGTGGAGGAAATTTAAGGGTAAGATCATTAAATTTGTCCTTGTACTTCCTTTGTATGGTACACCTAATACAATAACATGTATTTTGCAACTGAAAACAATCTAAAAAAGTACAAACTAAGTAGAGGTATCTTCAAAGCACAATAATGAGTTAGGGCAGGAAGGTTTTTTTGTAGGATTCTAAACTTTTCATATTCTTTAAAAAAATATGCACTGAAAAGAATGTCTAGAGACTACTAAATGATACAGAAATACACTTGATATTTAAAAATTACATATTATGGATATGATCACAAAACATGATAAAACACATGTAGCAAGTAAGATTGGAAGAGAACACTACTATTAAAGGAGGGAAATTGTGGGTGGGTGATTATTTTTCCAATTTTTAAATGAAAGCATGCAATGAAAATAACTTTTAAGATTTTTATCTTTGTATAGTAAGTAAATCAAACTTACTTTTCTACTTGATTTAGAAAGCAGAAGAAATATCTTTCCCAAATGCCACAACAGCCAGGGCCGGGCCAGGCCAAGACTGAAAACCTAAAGCTCCATCCCAGTCTGCCACCCGCATTATAGAGGCCCAAGTACCTGGATTATCATCTGCTGCTTCCTCAGTTGTGCATTAGCAGGAAGCTAGAGCAGAAGTAGAGCAGCAGGGAACACAAACCAAATACTTCGTACTTGATGTGGGCAACCCAAGCGGCAACTTAAACCACTGTGCTAAATGCCTACCCCTAAAAGGTATCTTTCTGAACAGTTAAAGAGAGAAAAAAAACCTTGAAACTATGTCATAATCACTACTTGAAAAGTAAAAATCAGTATGGATAAAACAAATGCACAAGGCTAAAGGCGGAAATGTCACCTATTGCTAGTACTTCTATCAGAGGGCAAGCCAGAATTAGACTAACCTTTATTAAGATGGTACTAGAGAACTCCTCTCTGGCTTCCTGCGTCTCAGCCCAGAAGAGTTACGGAGGCCACTCCATTTCTGTGGTGAGAGACCAACTAGTCTCTGAGGCATGTAATGTGGAAGGTGGGCCCCACACCTTCCAGGGACTGAATGCATCTACATTGGGGGAAAACAAATTGGAGATGATATTCATTTCAGCTGCTCAGTTTTCCAATCTAGCTTTTACCAGAATAAATCACATACTCATTTGATGGGTTCTTGTGTCTATTTTCAATGTGGTTACAGTGTTACAGGGGCAAACCTAATGAAAAGCTCCCAAACTCCAAGAGGTGGCTTGCAGCAAGCAGCTGCCCTTATTTCAAAGAATCTCAGACAAAAATAAACAGCTTGTGCATGTAAAACCAAATGCCAGTATGGAGGACAAGCAGAAACAGCCCTTTCTTGGAATTATAAGACTAGATAACAGCTGTTTTAGTCAATGTGTTCAGGTATTTCTGGGTAATACACATAACTAAATGCCATCCAGAATTCCTAAAATTTCCAATACCAATGTATCCCAGTAGCTTTACACTATCAGCAGGCTACTAACCTTCCAAATCCTTTGTACTCACCAATATCAGCGATAGAAGGAACATGACAGACCAACAGAATAGGCAAAATCAGGGGAAAATAATCGTAGATTTTGGCCTCAAATTTGATGAATTTTTACATCATGAAAGGTCAAAAAATTATTTTAAAATCCAAGTAGGCATAGATGTTATTCCTATGCCCTAAAGTGATGCTTTCCTTGTTGCTAGAAGTGCTGAACTATTGAAGCAGTAAATCATTTCCAGCTTGTAATAACTGGGGAATCGTGACTGAAGTTTCCTCATTTCTATGTGTGCAAGTGTGCATTTGTCCTCATTTCTGTGTGTGCAAGCGTGCATTTGTGTGTATGCCTTTGTCTATAGCCAACACTCCACTAGGGTAACTTAAAACAAAATAGGAATTTATTTACAATAGCAAGGATGTCAAAAATAACAGGAACAATATATAACAAATCCAAGAATTATTTTTATGAAAAAGCCAAACAATATATACACGAAGCAAGATAAAACAAAATTCATAGGGCAAACTTAATTTTGACCTTATCTAAAAAGCTGTAGAATTGTGGCAAAGTGGCTTTCTAGAAATGAATTAACCCTGGGCCAGTTACACACTCACACACAAATACACCAGTCTTTTTCAGTCCTTCTTTTACTAGCTGAATCTTTCTCCGAGTTCTGTTTACCTTTGACGAACGTGACTATGGAAAGGCCATACAAGGTTTAGGAAGTACAGGCTATTTACATGTGCACTGACAGATATATGTATTGACTGGTAGGCTACATATTAAAAAGGGTAAATAAAGCCAAGGCAGGAAGTGTCTGCATCCTATTTACCTTCACTGCTCTAGTTACTTGTTTCTGTGATTTTCTTGTCTATCACACAAAACGTTGCAGCTGTAATCTTTTTAAGCTCCTCAAGTGCTCGAAAATAGTGTTTTTCAAACTTGAGCATGCATTAAATCACTTGAAGGACATGTTAAAACCTGTATTTTGTAATGCCCCATGCCTTGTCTCCCAAAACAGCAAGACTGGGCAGGGGTGAGAATTCGCATCTTTAACAAAGTTCCAAGCAATCAATGCTGCCAGTGCTACCAAGCAACACTGAAAATTACTGCCCTGAAATATCAGAATGGTCATGCTTTTCCTTATAGAAATCCTAAAACGTGTAAGCAACATTGAGATTATCAGCAAAACAGAGTAGCACGTTATCTGTCTGGGATCACCTGTCATTTGCCAGCCCAGATTTTCATCATGAAATGATTCCACATTCTCTTGGTCATTTCCCTAACATTTTGATTACTTATTGTTTCAACCATCAGACAAACACTTGTTCCTACAGGTGACAAACTATGCATAATCTCATCTTTGAAATCAGTAGTGGTGAAACCTATCTGGACTCCTGATAACTTCTACTTAACTTCGGATTTTTACTAGGACAACCACCATCATCTAGTGCTATTAGCATCCTCTGGTGCCCTCTGAACTGGGCACAAGGAGATAACTCAAGGAAAGACTTTTGCAGTGGAAATGGGGCAGCCCCCTCTGAGTAAGTGCACTGTGGATTTGGAAATTTATTCTTAAGTGCTCTCAAAAACACTTCATGCATGGGTAATTTTATCTCTAGGGGATTGGAGATGCTAATAAAATAAATCCTTTATAAAAAGAAAAAAAATCAGTTAAGGACATGCTCATCAAAGGACTCACCAATCACCTCTTAACTTCTCTGCAATATTACTTGCAAATTCACAGGACTGAAATATTATCAGTATTTGCATCCAAGTCACAAAATTCAAAGCAATCAAGCATTTTGCATTCCACTGCTGCATAAAAGGAATTAAGAAAAGGGGTGAAAATAATCGAATGCTTTTGATGCTTATTAGGTTTACAAAAACTGTACATTTTTTTTAAGAAAAAGCATTAACTTAGTATTGGTATCAAATAGACTAAACATTTATTAACAGGAAAATATCTGATTTTTATTTTTGCACGTTATTCTCAAGTACACAATTACAATAATGTCACACATCCCTATATGATTTTCTTTTTATGTATTTTTATACAAAGTATACAGAGGGAGGGTCATACAATATTTAATATTTCTACAGAACAATAACTTATATTATGTCCTTGTAAAAATCTGTACCTCTTTAAAACATTTAACTGAAACATCCATTTTTTAGCTTTGCTAATCAAAATTGTTTTAAGAATTAAAACTAGGTTGTAACTAATGTCAGTACATAACAGTGACTACAATTTCATTTTCTCTTTATACAGACAGATACATTTCATATTCACTTGACCAAACCCTTAAATACCTTTTAAAGGTTTCAATGTTGTGCTTTAAAAAGAAAAGAACTGTGGTAGGATTCCAGATTACATAAGAGAAATATAAAGTATGTAAAGTGTTATGTTATCTTTCAGTTTATTTAAAAATATATAAACGACCCAATCATTTACATTTTCTGAATGTGTACAGATGTTTAAAATTAATAAATTTCTACTTCAAGTGTCTTCTTTTATATCATTTCTGGGGAAAATAAAAATTAAGGGAGATTTGAAAGGTTTTCACAAAAAAACAGAACTTTCAAGAATGTGGGGCAATGACTCATATAGCTGTAAATTAACTACATCAAAGAAAAAAAAGCTTGAATGGGGGCCAAGGAGGCAGAGGAATTCCCTATAGGATAGGCTGGGGAAAACCAATGCCTTGACTTTAACTGGCACTTAGGCTGGAGTTCATAAACAGCCTAAAAAAACCTGACTTAGAATCATACTTAATCAATCCAGCACTTTAGAAGCTTGCCAAACATCAAATATTTGGATTTCTAACTCTAAAAATACATCTCTTGAATACAAATATGGATGGCAAAGAGAAAGATGTGATGTAAGAGCCTAATGGCACAAATGGATGGAGCACCATGATGAGGTGGCAAGGCAGCTATCAAGTGGGAAGAAAATTTCTAAATCTCCCATGATGCGCCAGATACATGTGTGCCAACAGCCAATCTAAGGGACTCCTCCCAAAACTATCCTGTTCTCCAAGTCATCTTAACCAAATTCTAATCAACAGATCATTCTACGAATTTATAACTGATTCAGGCCTATCTGTTAAAGATGCCAACTCACAAAGAAAAACAGAACTGTCAAAGACTTGGTGATGTTCCAAATAAGGCCTCAGACTTTCCTTATACACTTGAAACCCACCTTCATCTTCTAATCAAAGCCAACTTGAGTGTTTTAAAGGTGTTTAAAGTTTGCTAACCTTAACTGTGAAACACAGCAGGCTGCATTTGCCAAGTGTAACTTGTAATTAGCACCAGTTCTCTGGTCCTTAGAGCCATCTCTTTCTCTCTCTCTCTGTCTCCCTCACTTAGTGAGACAGAATTCTCTCTCTCAGGCTTGTCAGAGAGAACTGAAGGAGTTACAGCTGGATACTCATTAGCTTTTCAAAAAAATATAAAGGCATGGAGCTGAAATTGTACGAAAACATTCTATCTAGAAACGTATTAACTTCTATTTTTCAATTACCAAAGATATTTAAAAGAAAATACCTTTACTCTTTAAAAATACTAGTGTCCTTATTTTCCTTCTAATTCTTCACCTGAGTAGTCTCTCTGAAGAGCATGACTTACAAAATGCTCTCTCATGCATCCCTGGATCTTTCATGTTACTGTAAGTTTAATACTTTTCATTATAGATTTTAAACAACTACTACTTGGGGGTTGTGTGTTTAAATATGTAAAATAAGCGATACACACAGATACATGTGTTATATATATATATGCGTGTATATATATAAATCAGGGTACATTTACATATATAAAGTTGCAAAAGATTCTATGAGCCAGGAATTACCTCTAGCAGATTCCAAAATGCAATCCTCGGTAAGTCTCATTATAGCACACAACCATTCCAAGACAAAGCAGCACAGACAGAAGAATCAAATTACAACAGGAGCAAGCCAAATTGCTCAAAAAGGTTTTCTAAAAGCTTACTACACTGACAAAAGATGTAAATAGTCCAAAGAAAGGCAAAAGTGTATTTTGTCTGCTGAACAAAATGAAAAGTAAACACGAACCCAGCCACTGTTCTGTACTCAGCGAAGCCAGGGACACAAAAGCTCAAATGGAAACTTCACTGCTGTATGATCTGAAAATATTAAGACAAGTAAAGGATTTCCATGTTATGAGAGCTAGACCTGACTGTAAAATCTCCCATTGATATTAGTAGATGCCGCTGACAATTCCATTGTGAGAAATCCAGGGGGCGGGGGGGGGGACGAATCAACATGAAAACTTTCAGAATTACCAATCTAAAGTTACCTCAAGTTAATTAAATGGTCTTAGAAGAGTACCATCAAGATAAGCAAGGTAAATATTTAAATAAATATAAAACTTCTAAGATAGAAAAATTCAGTATAGAATCAGGGATTATTTTATTAAAAGCAACAGGTTTGTTGCTGCTTTTCCCCAATTATTAAACAAACTGAATAGAATTCAGAACACACTACTGAACAAAATGTAAAAAACCAAGTCAACTAGAAGCATTAACTCTATTTGTACACAGCGTAAATCAATATACAGTATTATATGTGAACGACACTAATTGGCTTTAAAATTAACTTTCTTCTTCAAGGCCAGTATCTCCGTAGAAGTATCATCAGGGCAGGCCAACTTCTTTATGATGTCGCATAATGTGCTGGTTCTTCTCGGAAGGTCTTCGGAACCCTTTCTTGCAGTACTCACATCGGTGCGGATAGTCTTTTGTGTGAATGGAAATGACGTGCCGTTTAAAGCCGGAGGCGTCTGTAGTGCTATACTCACAGTACTCACACTGATACACTTTCCTGCCACTGTGTGTCTTCATATGCTTTTTAAGCTCATTCTGTTGTCTAAATCCCTTTCTACATCTCTTACACCTAAACGGAAGATCCTTTGTGTGAACTGAGAGAATATGGCGGCTTAGAACAAATGGATCTGCAATCTTAAAGTCACAATGTCTACACTGGTGCATTTTTTTACCCTTGTGGGCAGCCACGTGTTTCTTGAGTTCTGAAGGCCGGTGAAAGCCTTTATCACACATGTCACACTTATGGGGGTAGTCCTTTGTGTGAACTGAGATAATGTGTCGTTTCAAGTCACTTGAGTTCGAACTCTTATGGTCGCAATGCAAACACTGGTGTGTTTTGCTTTCTTGGTGGATAAGAGCATGTTGCTGTACCTCTTTGGTATCCGAAAATGTCAGGAGACAAATGTCACATTTGAATGGCATCTCTTTACTATGTTTAGTTTTCACATGCGTTTTCAAGTTAGAAGAGTCTGCAGACCTGTATTCGCAGTACTGGCATTGGTATGGCTTCTCACCAGTATGGATTCGCATGTGCTTTTTGAGCTCTGATGGATGACGGAAGCCTTTACCACACTCCACACAAATGTGAGGAAAGTTCTTGCTGTGGACTGCCAAAAGGTGGCGATTCAATAACCCTTGTTCAGCTGTCTCATATTCACAGAATTTGCACTTGTGCATTTTGTTGGCTCCTTTTTCCTTATGCACCATTTTGTGAGTAAACAAAGCCCCAGCATGAGAGAAATGCTTTCCACACTCATCACATTCGATGGTTTTCTCCGTCTTGCTGGTCAGCTTGTGACTTTCCATGTGGTTGTGTAAACTTATCTTCTTGTTGGTAGTGTAGTCACAGTCAGTACAGCGGTACTTCTTCTTGGTAAGGTGCTCAGGATGGTTTTTCATGTGCCTTTTCAAGAAACCTCTGGACTTAAACTTCTTTCCACAAATCATGCAAGGATAGACAGTCAGGGGATGTCCATCAGGGCCAATAATTATTGCTAAGAAAGGAAAAAAAGGGTGCATGAATGATCACACCAAGCACTGTTTTGATTTCTTCAAGTGCCCTGAACAATATTAGCCAGATTCCTAAGTTAAGCTATTTGCTATTAACACTCCTTTTACCATTTTTCCACATATGAAACACAGCCACTTAGTTAGGAAGAGCAATTTGTCTGGAAACATCATTCAGTAGAACTGTAACAACTTGCTCCCTCCAGATTAATAAAATTAATGAGTAGATATATAACTTCTATCAAGTAATATTTAAACCTGCATCAATTTAGCAACCTGTGGGCAATTATTTATAAAATTTGTAATCACGGGGCTGGTGTTGTGGTGCAAATTAAGCTGCCACCTGGGACACCAGCATCCCATATGGACACCAGTTCGGGTTATGACTGCTCTACTTCTGATCCAGTTCCCCATTAACGTGCTTGGGAAAGCAGCAAAAGATGGCCCAAATGCTTGGGCCCCTGCCATCCAGCCAGGACACATGGATGATAGAGTTCCTGGCTCCTGGCTACGGCTCAGCCCCCTGGCCACTGACTATTCAGGGAACCAGTTGGCAGAACTTCTCTCTCAAAGTACCTGTCACTTTACCTTTCAAATAAATCTTGGGAAAAAAAAAAAGTCTGCAATCAAAATGTCTGATTTGGTTATTCCAAAAACCACAATTTATGCTAATTTACAGTAAAGACTAAATACAGCCATGAATTCTTAATATGCGAATCAGTAACACAAATAGACAAGGAATTATGTTACATGAAGTACTTAACCTGTCGCTCGGTAAATTATGTCTGCTTTAAACTGACATAATTGGATTTGTTAAATATATAAGCTAATGCTTGTATCATTTTTTTCATTTCCATAAAAATCACCCGTTTTCAATTTTCTTCATCCATAGCTGATCTATTTTTTTTTCCTAAATCAATCATTCATGAATATCACTGTATTCTGAAAATTATATTCTCAAATTCAATACACAGAAGATACAAGTGGCCTAGTAGCTAAAATGCCATTGCTACACCCCTGTGAATACATTCTAGGGTTTCATCTGAAAACTCACTGTGCCTTGGAACATGTGTGCCCTCACCTGTTTGGTACTGCCTGGAATCAGGTCTTCTCCTTTTCTTTGGTTTTTGTTTAGCCAGTCTGCCGAGGCCAGCAGACTCATCTATGTGCAAGAGGGCACTGGCAGTGCCATTCCGGTTTTCAATTCCATCAGAATTATTACCTAACAATGTGCATTAAAAAACAAAATTATACAGTATTATAAATTATAAAGAATTAGGAATTCTTTCTTAATTACAACAATGAAAAGTAAGCCATGATACTCATGAATGACAGAAAGTTCTCACTCTAGGTAATGGGTTTTATGAGCACATTTATCATATAGTGAGACCATAGGGAATGCCTAGTTTTCAAAGCTAATAAAAACATTTCGCATTTTGCCCCATGGATTCTCTCATTGTCTCCCAAAACTGTAAAGTCATGGGTCACATATAATCAAGAAAACTTTGAGCTTGAAAGCCTGTGTATTTCTCACAGTACTTCCTTCTACATAATATACACATGAAGGAAATTCTTGTTACAAATAAAGACATAGAGTAGACTTTTATAGGCTTCTTCTGCTCTTGTGCAAATCAAATAATCCTTACAGGTTATTAGTATCTGAGATTTCTGAAATCTAAAACCACAGAAAATGTTTTCCAATCATGAACTGAGTGTTCTAAGACCAGCTCAATCAATCTTTAGCTGCTCTGTGACTTACCATAAGCCGCTGCCCATGCAATTGGCATAAAGGTTTTGATTTCATTGTCATCTATTTGCTGTTCATGTACGGCTGCAGCGGCAGCTGCAGCATCCTCCTCTCCTACAATCACTTCCATATAGACTTCATCAGCAATTTCAGCAACATCTACAAATAGAAGAGCATAAAAATCGTTGTGACCAGGTTTACAGAGATCACAGCAAATATATTTTTATGCAAAATTAATAAATAAAAAGAAAAGGGCCTGGTGTTGCAGTGGGTTACAACACAGTCTATAGCACCGGCATCCTATACGGGCGCCAGCAGTCCTGGCTGCTCCACTTGTCATCCAGTTCCTTGCTAATACACCTGGGAAGACAGTGAAGGAGGACTCAAGTCTTTGGGTCCCTGCACCCACGTGGAAGACCCAAAAGCTGCTGGCTCCTGGCTTCATCCTGGTCCAGCCTCAGCCATTGTAGCCATTTAGGGAGTGCACCAGCAGATGGAAAACTTCTCTTTCTCCCTCTCTTAGTAACTCTGCCTTTCAATTAACTAAAATAAATCTTTTAAAAAGATTAAATAGAAAAAAGGAAAAAATATTACAAACCTAGTGCAGCTTTCATGTAGTAACTACATAAAAGATATTTGTTGACTGAACATTTATTTCTTGGCTTTCACTATAACTGCTGTTAAGGCCATATTCTAAACACATAGTCACTGAGACGTCCCTGAGAATATGGCAGCATGATAATATCTAAAATAATGCTATTTGTTTCCTTCAAATAGTGACGATTTTTAAAAAAGAGCTGTAAAAATCTTTTTTCCCCTACAAAAATGCCACCCACTTACTTAAATCTTCATCTTCTTGTTGAGAGTCGTTGACAGTCATATAAACCATCTTTTCCCTAGGAACACGAATACTGTTGTTCTGATCAAGTAGCTCAACTCCATGATCATTTTCTGGCTCACTTTCCACAATGTCTACAGTTCCACCTATAGGGAAGAAGATAGATAGCTCCAAGAATTTATCTGAAAACCTCATTTAGACTTTCTCCTTTTACATACTTTATTACTATATTGGAATTCTTCTTAAAGTTATCTTCAAGGGCCGGCATGTGTGGTACAGTGGGATAAGTTGCTTGCAACGCTGGCATACCATATGAACACCTGTTCGAGTCCCAGCTGCTCCACTTTAAATCCAGCTCTACGCTAATGCACCTAGGAAACCAATGGAAGACGTCCTCAGAGTGTGGGCCCCAGCTACCCACAGGGAAACCTGGATGGAGCTCCTGGCTCCCAGCTTTAGCCTGGCCCAGCCCTGGCTGTCACAGACATTTAGAGAGTAAACCAATGGATGCTAGAGACCTTTGTGGCTTTCCTCTGTCACTCTACCTTTCAAACATACCATCTTTTTTCTTTTTTTTTTTTAAGTTATGTTCAGAAAATATTTCAAGCATTCTCAATCTAAATAGCCCAAAAGTAATCAGGTTCAAATATTTGCATCAGGATGTATAATGTGCTAAAGGTTTCCTATTACCTAAGTCATCCTCTCCAGGGTCAGCTTTAAAAATGTACACCTTGATGACTTCAGGGCAAGTGCCGTCCACTTTACAAGGATCAATTTCCGACTCTGCGTCCATGGGCATTCCAGAGGAACCATCGTGTTCTATTTTCCCAGCATCATCCACTAAACAGGCAGGAAATATATCACAAATGATAATAGTAGATACTTAAAATGTCACTGCTTTCAAAAGTCCTTTACAAGTAAAATTTCTAAGCCAATTCATGTAAAATTGGATAATTTTGCATAGAAAAGTAATACACTTATAAAGACTTCTAAAAATGGGATGTTACTAAAGCAAAAATCACTAAATAGAGGAAACTTCTGGTAGCCCAGAAAAAGATTAAGTAACAAAAGAACACAGTCTTTCCTCAAACTTCAACTAAAAACACTCCTAAACTATTCTTCTAATACTTGAAAAGACCTTTAAAGGAAATCTTCATGTAAATTTTGCAGGAGTACTACTACATGGTCACTAAAACTCTTGAATATCATTTAATGCAATCTATTTTCATTAGAAAACACATTTACAGATAAAAAATGAGCATCAGAAAGGTGTATGTACTGAAATGAGACAGCCAGAGGCAATTCTAATTCACTCTGCTTAAACTAAAAACCCCATACACATGTAACTCCTACATATGCAGATGCATACACACACACACACACACACACACACACACACACACACACACAAACACACATGTTAGTTTATGACAACAGTGAATCTAAGTCCTTACTGGCAAGTGCAGCAATATGTGATTTCAAACATATTCTCATCTACCTATTACCTTTCTTACTGAAGGTTCATTATGTTATATTATATATAAAAAAAAAAGACTAAATGATTCCCAGTAGTAGTAACTTTGGGGCTATACAACAAAAATCACATTTTTTTAAAGCTTTGTAAAAGCAGCCAAGGAAAACTGTTATTGTAATTGAGACTCAGAAAGTAAATCACATGGAAATATTAACAAAAAATAAAATAAAATAAAATATTCTGAGGCCAGGCATGACAAATCAATTGGCTAATCGTCACCCTGGCAAACGCTGGTATTCCATAGGGGTGCGGACTCACGTCCTGGCTGCTCCACTTCCCATCCAGCTCCCTGTTCATGGCTTGGGAAAGCAGTCGAGGATGGCCCAAAGCCTTGGGACCCTATACCCGCGTGGGAGACCTGGAAGAAGCTCCTGGCTCCAGGCTTCGGATTGGCTCAGCTCCTGCCCTTGCGACCATTTGGGGAGTGAACCAGCAGACTGAAGATCTTTCTTTCTCTCCTTCTCTCTGTAAATACTTATCTTTCCAATAAAAATAAATAAATCCTAACAAAAAAAAAAATCTTCCTTCTAACCTATTACATTGCAATGGACATCCATTCCAACATATATTCACTTTCAAAACCACACATGCCACTTAAAAATATGCTTGCTGATGAATTAAACTTTTGCCTTGCAAAAGTTAAGGGGAATTAAAATCAAGGATAACTTATAGGGGGGAAAAAAGCGAAAGCTTATGTATATACTAAGATGATACAACAGTTAAACTCTCTAGTACAATCTTGAATAATACATGTATATGGAACATGAAGAGAAGCAGAGACAGAAATAACGGACCAACATTGCACTGTGTGCTCTGACAGCTGCCATGGAAACAAAAGAGGCTAGCACACTCACATGGGGAGCGTGAAAAGGGCATTTACTTCAGGTGAAGGATTCAGCAGGGATAAAGGTAAAGACAAGAAATGCACAATGGGTAGGAATGCTCCATACTGCAGGGCTGCAAAGTTAACCACAGCAGAGGGCATAGCAGCAAATACGGTCCACCACTAAGCCGAGGTCAGGTCACACAGGGCCTTATGCATACATCAGGAAGAAAGGCTCAGACTTGATCCTGGTAGGCCAGAGATTTCTCTATCTGGTCAAGTGTCAAAATCTGTTAGAGGACTTCAGAAACACTGGCTGCAGCACAGCAGTTCCACAGAATCAGAAACTACAGAGGTGAGATCTGACACACACACAGACATTATCAGAGGGTCCCTACGCCTGGAATTCTGATGAGTAGGTATTTTAGAATACCTACTGTCAGTGATGGGGAGACTTTTAAGCAGACAATGACAAGGTGTTAGATCCAAAGGTGGCAAGACATGAAGCAGGGAGAACACTTCCAAGTCTACTGCAATAATGCAGGTAACCAGGCACAAAGTCTTGAATCAGAAAGCAGCAGCAAAGCTTGAGCTCGCAACCCATCTTGAAACTAATGAGGACAGGACTTGGGGTCCACCTGAAACCAAAAGTGACCAGGGAGTCGAGGATAATCCTGGGATTTGACTCAGGTGAACGAGTGGGCTAGTAGTGAGGAAAGGGATCTTAAGTTCACAAGAACAACATTTCCAATAGCGCTCAGTGCCAGTGCTTGCTGCTCACACTGCACTCAGCCTCTGCACTCCCCATGACTCACTATGCTGTCACCATCTGGGTTCTTACGCCTATCATTCCTGGTTGATACTACCGTGACACACAGTATATGCGCTGAACCAATAATTCAGTGAAAGACTGAGACTTGGAGCAAACTGCTAAATACTTGAGTTTGAAAGGACTTGAGGGTGGACACACGGATTTGGAAGCCATCATCTTTGTGTTAACACCACACAGTGAGAACATACAGTGTGAATGAAGAGAGTGTGCTAAGGACAGTCCTGGGACCTACCAAAGTGTAAGAGTTCAGAAAGCCAGGCCTGGTACAGTAGCCTAAAGGCATTGCCTTGCATGCTCCAGCATCCCATATGGGCATGAGTTTGTGTCCCAGCTGCTCCATTTCCCATCCAGCTCCCTGCCTGAGGCCTGGGAAAACAGTAAAGGATGACCCAAAGCCTTGGGACCCTGCATCAGTGTGGGAGACCCAGAAGAAGCTCCTGGCTCCTGGCTTTGGACTGGCCCAACTCGAGCTGTTGCAGCCACTTGGGGAGTGAACCAATGGATGGAAGATCTTTCTCTCTGTATCTCCTTCTCTCTATAAATCTGCCTTTCCAATAAGAATAAATAAATCTTTTTTAAAAAGTTCACAAAGCCCAGGAGAACAGAAGGTTGGAACATTTGGTGGCAGGGCATTACAGAAGCCGGGGAGTGAAATTCTAGCAATTCTAGGAAAGCACAGGGCACAAATGTAGCAGGCACACAAGTCAGGGAAGGCTGTCCAGACTGATTTTTTTGGTGAAAAGCTAGGGGTCCAAGAGATCAATAGAAGGTGTGAATTTCTTCAAGTATAGTTGTAATAAGGAGGACAAAGAGATCTTAATTACAATGGGTTGCAGGAGGAAGGACTTTTTTGTTCGATTGACGAAATTGATGGGGCCCAATGCTGTGGCATAGTGGAAAAAGCCTCCGCATGTACACTCAATATCCCATATGGGTGCTGGTTCAAATCCAGGTACTGTACTTCTGATCCGCTCCCTGTTAATATACCTGGCCAAGCAGGTGAGCACAGCCCAAGGACTTGTGCTCCTACACCCACTTTAGCCCAACCCAGACTACTGTCACCATATGAGGTGTCAATCAGCGGATAGAGGATCTCTCTCCTCCCTCATTCTGCCTTCCAGATAAACACTTTAAAAATAACAACAAAAAGCTAAATTATTTCCTTAAGGGTGATCTGGAATTTCAAACTGGAGTAGAATTAGAAGAATGAAGATATCACCAAACAAGGCAGAACAGTTCAGAAAAAAAAAATCTGCAACATCTTCAGAGAACTCATCTCTGAATAGTGTGATGCTGTTGGGGAAGTTGGCCTCTTTCAGCAAGGTTTGTCAAAACCAATTCTAATAGCTACTGGAAAATCAAATGTCCTTGAGTTTACAAAGAACTAGGCTAGGCTTGTTGTTTCTGCATGTTATTTTGTTAGTACCTTCAGAAAATCTTTGATGATTGAAAAACCTGATCATTTCAGAGCTTGCAAATGTCATGCCTTTCCTATAATGTGAGGTAAAAGATGTTTGCTCTTATAAATGTATAGGAAAACGGATTTCAGATATACAGGCTTGTCTGATAGCAAAACAATTGTATTATTAGACAAAAGTGAAATTCATCTTCAGATTGCATCTTGAAAATTTGTTCTGCTAATTCAACCTATGAAATTCAGAATTATTACTAAGAATAATACGAAATGTCAGAGAAACAATTTATTTTAAAAACCACTTTGATGGTCCTGTTAAGTACTCAAAATTTCACTGATTTTTAAAGCTACTAATAAAAATGAATTTCTAAAAGCAAAGGAGGCTTTGATAAAAGTGAGTCATTGTACATTTGATTTCTGCTTAAATACCTTCTTCTAAACAGCAATGAAAAACTAGAACTTTAGAATAGGGCTTCTCCAAAGTAGAAGAGTATAATTTCTGGAAATTAAGATTACTTCCAATGATAACTACCATTTGCATGGCATTTTGCAATTTCCTTTGTTTCAATGTAGTTTTTATTTCATTTGATTCTCATGTTTTCCAGATAAAGAAATCAATGCTCTGAAATGAGGCACAATTTGCTCATAGTGAGCATGCTACCAAGGCTTACCTACGTGAGGAGGGGCCTGTCTTTAGAACCCAGACATTTATTTCCATCTGCAAAATTTTCTTCATTTATTTTTTAAGTTGAAAGACAAAACCTCTCTGTTGGTTCACTCTCCAAATGCCTTCAACAGCCAGGGCTGGGTCTTCAACATGGGCCATCGCCTGCTATCTCCCAGGATTGACAGCAGCATGAAGCTGGAGTCAGGAGCCAGAGCCAGGAACTCAATGCAGACACTTCCAAGTGGCATGTGAACACCTTCATCTATAGCCTAAATACCCGTTCCAAATTCCTTTCCCATCTTTTTGTATTCTTAAAAAGTAAAATTATCATCAATTTCTTCCAGGTTTATATAATACTCTTTACATCTCATTTAGTACTTTTAAATCTGAAAACTTAAAATGAAAATATGACTTATCAACAATCTCACTGGTAATAGCAAAGCTACAATAAGATACTTATATAGACATGTATCATGCTGCTTCAAAAAAGCCTCAGAAAAATGTCCTTGAGAGTGATAACTAGAGAGTAATTTGCAATGAGAATAGACATTGCAATATCTAAAAATACAG